TCTGTGCGGTTGGTCTCTACGTGACATACTTAGTGGAAACCTCATAGAAAGCGGCCCTGAAGAAGGCGAAATCCGCCGAAACGTCAGCTTAATCGTGAACAAAGAATAATAACACCTCGCGTTTGCTCAACAAAAATACGAAGAAAATCACTTGATCAATGCCGAGGTTAATAGAAAGTCGGTCGTGAATTATCTAAGTCACTTAATTTTCAGCATCATCGTGTTGTGGCAGGGTCCATAATCTATAATTTTCGAGGATATTTGGAACTGCAGATAGCTTTACGCTTGCTTGGAACGTGATATTGCAACACTAACTTCTAGATAGCTCGTTCGATAACCCTGACCACATAGTAATGTTGTTCACACGAGGAATAATGGATGTTATACAAAGTATTTAGTGTAAAATTTTCATCATTGATGTATCTTTTAAAACCTACGTCATGCATTGGCGATGATTAGGTATTGTAAAGGTAATTAAATGCATGCTTAGTCTGCACAGCTAATTGCAACGACCTTAGCTACTCTTATCAATTTGGCGACTCCTTGTGGACCTCTGACAGTGTGTCTATGTCTATGATGGTACCGACTATGGGTGTCGAGGTTTTAATCGATTCAAGGAAAGGTTCCGATGAGTACAAAAGGGAAGAGAATTGGCAAAAGGATCTTTTTTGCTGTTAATTCTAACAATATTCTAACGTAATCCTTAATATTAGTTCATTACTTTCAAAGTTGTGTTGTCCATAAAAGAAGTGACGACTACATCTCTAAAGCGGCAGTTTCCAAGCAAATATATGTCCTTAGGTCTATAACCACTAGGCACTTTGGGAAATTCTTTCCTGGAAACAAGTTGTTTTATTTACGTGCTTGCGGCGAACGTACTTATATGCGTACATGACTCTTCTCACATGTCATGTGGGCATTAATCCCTTTTTACTTGATTCTAACTCTCATCGACGAATTTACGTACGGATTAATTTGCGGCTTGAAGATCACTGTTTTTCTACTAATCACAGAATGATTGCATCTCGAGCTTTCCATGATTTCATCCAGGATCTCAGCAAACTCATGCACGGAGTATTCTCAGATATTTAGGGCAAGTCGTCATCAGTCCTTTGTATTCCAGGGAGGTTTGCTGTCTTTCGAGTTGGATTCCTTCCGAACAACAGGTACCGAATCCAGTGACTGATCAAAGATCGACCAAGGACGATGTAACAGTCTGAATCCAGGCTTTAAATGAGAATTTTCACGAAGACAAAGTACTTTTATTCTATTTCTTTAAAAATTTAATCTGTATAAATACAATCACAGGTGGTGGGAAAGGTAATCCATTCGATGCCATTTCATTCACAACATCGAAGTCAATCGTTTATGAATATAGTGGATGATGGTGTAATTGACAATGTGGACATTGGCCAGATGCCTAGTCTGACCTGCTCAAATCTGCGGAAGTGGAAACATTTCAAAATAACAACAAGGATCGGTAGAAACGGACTAGATATTTCCTCCGAATTTTGATTACAGAATGCACTAGTATGTATTTGATGAACGGTAATGCAATAACACAACAACATTTTCTTTCCAAATAAACACGCACTGAAAGCTGAAAGCTGGTGTAAACGTTTAAGGCACCACAGAACCCATGTGTTAGTGTGGGACCAAATCGGGTTAACACTGAATCATTAGGTTGTTCCTGTACTAACTGCGCCTAACTCGAATCTGCGTGTCAGCACGGATTTGTGCTCGAATTGGCTATTCGATATGACGAAACGTAAGTGTTTACTAAGTTGTAACGTAAAGAGTACTAAAGAATTATGAATGTTACAAATTTCCACTGATTTTTCCAGTTGTTGTATGCGAATCGTAGCAATTTCGAGCAAGGGCCAGTTTTCCCATCACCACTACATCTCCGCAAAAAAGATATACGTCGATACAAAGATAAAAGAAAGATGTACTTTCTAAAATTATCGCCTGCACCAGCAGAAGCTCAGAAGAAGTGAAGATGGTGAGAATTTGAATGGAATGCTCTTCAGAGACAATGGCGTCCCATACAAACGGTCACACTGGCTACTACCGTATCGACAGCAGCGAGTGCGAGGGCGGCCACGGATAACCAGAACGAATAGCCGAACTGGTCCTTGTGAGTGAACTTGTCACCTGAAAAGTTCAATCATTCAGTAACGCTATTTTCCAGTCGCTTCGATGAGATCTTATCCATTTAAGCTTGATTATTAGATAAAACCTTGACCACTCCTATTTAATTGTTTGTATTTACAAGGCGATTTTGCATACTGTGCGAAGTGCTGTATTTTCTTCTATTCAGTCAGCTATCCCGCATATTTCGTCGAGAGGGTCTTCTGATTTTCATCTGGATTTCGCTGCCATTTGAGGGCTTTCTCTTCGAAATGAAAAACGTTGAATTCTGGTCGAGTCGATTCTCCCTTGAATCCTGGGATAGCTTTGGTAGTTTTTCCGAAGAGACGGTAGGCTTTAATGGACTGAAGCACCACCGAATCATCGAAAAATTATACGTGTACTGCATAGCATCTAACTCCATTACGTTCTCCGCACGATGAGTAAAACTGTGTTTGAAGAAAACTTTAGCGCTGAAAAATTCCTCTTGCGTTTCCGCAACTCTAAGATGAAAAAACGAACAAGATAGACGACGAGGGGAACCGGTTGCTAGCAACTCGACTTCCGTATGATGTTTATCCTAGTGTCTTGAAATTTCACGCTTTTTCTCTCTAAACGGGTTTATAGAGCACATCTCTCAAATTTACACTAAACAAAGCAATTTATGCCCGGAATTTCATTGACTAGTTGCCAACGAGACAAAGGTTTGCCCTCGACAATCGTAGTGTCTTACCTAAATGTCCTTTGTTATTTTTTGCGTAGACAATGACAGCGACGAGCAGAAGCGCAGAGGTGATGAACGACAGAAATGTAAGTGGATGAATAATGTACTTCTTGCAGCAACAAGTACAGCTGGAAGTATCTTCATTACTGAAATTCTTCTGTCAGAAAAGAAATTAATCAAAAAAATATATTATTGTGCATAATAGATCTAGTGTTTCTTGATCCACATGTGTGTACATCGGGTAATTTATCTACCAGGTACGATCATCAATGATGAGAAGCCTGATATATCTGCTAGGAAGCCGTGCAAAGATTCAAGTAATGTTACAGCAGCGAACGGAGAAAAGCTCTGTTTCAGGCACAATAGCGATTCAGGTTTGACTTCAGTAGCATAGCGACGATGACTTATCCGAAGGAGGCGTAACAGTGGAACAGTTTACGTTTACTAGTTCCTTGCGAAACAACGAAGCTAATGACGTTTGATGTTTCAGGCAGTTAGGTACAGTGTATTGCGGTCCAGGATCAACAATCCAGATTAACCGCGGTTGCATACGCTCGCGGCTCCCGCAGCCGATATAAGCCAGGCACCCATCGATGCTCAAAGTTCACGTTGCTGACATAGCGTTATTCACGACCAGCCGCCTGACTGTGTTCCGTAGATGACTCATCATTCACTGTCCATAGCACCGTCAACGATCATGTAACTTACAGTTCTCATCGATCCACTGAAATGCTCCTCATCGCTATAATGTTGGAATCTTAGCTTGGCCGAAACACGGCCAGTCTGTAACCCTCACCACTGCAGCATACTGTCTCCATCTCCGCGGCATACAGTCTCCTCCCTCCGCCCCCAGCATACTGTCTCCCTCAGCCACCGCGAATAGGCGCGGCGCGGCATCGCTTACGGCTAAGCAAAGGCTACTTCGTTGTAATCTCATTATTATTGTTAATATTGTGTTAATGGTATAATAATTTTTGAATGCCATTGCCTCATTGTTAGTCTCACTTCACTACAGGCCTTAGCACCTCAGAGCTCTAACTTATGTCATTTCTCTACCACTACTTCTCTATCGTTACTGTCATGTTATTAGTGTTGTATTTATGTATTAAAGGTTTAATTACCCAAGTTTGAGGCTGGTAGATCAACTACAACAACTAAAAGACCCGCGTGGCTAATATTCTACATCAATCTGAACCGCCACACTTCGCCGCTAAACCATTTCGTTACAGTCCCATTCCAGTGTTCGCATGACATTCTCGATGGTGGCGGTAATTAATGTTGGCGAGATGGCCCTGATTGCTCACATGGCCGCCTCTCGTCCAGTGTTCTGTCAATCGTGTTTAGGATGACTGGTGTGAAAAGTTTGTAGACAACAGAGACAGCAAGCAGATTGGGCGATGGTTGCCGATATCGTGGAGGTCACCCTTCTTGAACATTAGCACGGTCTTGTTGGTCTTCCATCGAGTAGAGACCTTGAATTCCGACAGGTAACGTGTAAAGTGCCGAGCCAGTGCCGTCTATAATAGATGAAAAATAAGCTTGTTTCGGAATTGTTTGACGTATTATACGTTGGTAGGTGCGTGTGTAGTGCAGTGGTTGGAGGCGTCGTGCGTCACAGATGGAATCAATCCCGGAGCCCCAGGCCCAGCAAGCCATCCTCCAACGGAGTGGGCACGCTGGTTCCAGACTTCTCAGGGAGGATAGCGGCACTGGCTCGGCACATCGGAGGCCGCCGTAGGTCATTGTAAAGGCCAGATATGCATTCAGTGACCTCTAACGATGTTTGATGAACTCTGATGCATGGCGCATCGCTGAAGGACTGATCAACGCCAAGAGCTTTATCCTTTGTTATTTATTATCCGCTGGCATATAACACGTTCGGTAAGCAGCTAAAAAAGCTACTTGTGGAAAAATACGATATGCCTCATATTCTTCGACGAAGTGAAGCACAATGACCAAATGTGCTGTGTTAAAAGCACGAATGGAGAGCTTGCTGTGGTCACAATAGTTACCGTATGGTAAATCGTGCGACAAATAGCAAAGTAGCGCTACTGCTGATTATATGCAATAATATGATAAAACAGCAGAAAATTTGCGATATTTCAAAACTTCCCCCTATTTCGTGAATTTGCAGTTTTTCTTTAACTGAAGGAGGTTATCGAATTATTCTAGCCCATGTGTGATCATGAGTGAACTTTGGTTGCACTACTGGTGTCGGCACGAATTATTTATGTCTACGTGACTCACACAATGAGCACTTTGGTCGAGATGAGTCATATATGAGTTATTTTTTTCTAATTGTTTGCTTTGCCATACGAAGTGTTTTGCCGTACATTTTGCATTTAGTTGATAGCTTTCTCAAAATAGATCTTATAAGTCTTGTGTGCAATTAAATTTAGCATTGATGTATAGTGGGCGCCGTCAAGACTACTGATTTTAGATTGGCTAAAAATAGATAGTCTTCTCTAGCTCGTATCTTGTCGTCCCTCTCACAAGTACCTCAGCTATCAGCCATAAACAATTCACAGAAAACATATTGGTTCTATGCAATGAGCAGGAAAAAAAAAGCTGTTGATACACATTAGATGCACGGTCGTCGAAAATCCAAGGGTCATTAAGCACCGCACTGTTTGACAACCTCACTTTTTCACAACGCTAGACAAGAACCATAAGAGAACCCTTCGTGAACTAGCGCCTTCGTCTTCTTAGTGTTCACTTCCTGTGAGTGACCGATCAAAAATGGAGTTCAATTCGCCTATCGCCGAGGTGGTTCAGGTCCACAAAAATCAACCGTGGGCCAGTGATTGATTATTCCTTCTTTCCCAGCCACATTCATGAAGCATCGGCGATAGGCGATGACAGCATTAGTCACCGTATGGAATGGGTAGATGCAAAAAATTTGGAATTTGGAAAAAACACTGGCCCCAAAATATTCATGTGCATGCTGGGAAATGGTTTACCAAAGCCAGATATCACCGTGGTTGCGACCTTTTTCTATCGCGCACAAGAGGTAGAAATATTAGTTCATTAAGAAATATTGAGACGAGTAAGAACAAAATTAAGAGGATGTCTAGAAAATAAAAACACGCAAAATATTATTAAAACACATACATTGAAAGCCGAACTACTGGACGAAAAGTGTGGCAAAAAGGATGGCCGTCACCTTTGGGAAACTTTGACCGCCGTCTGCCACGCGTACCTCACACTATGAGGGACAACGGATTGCCGTCGTTGCCGATGTGTTAAGTATGGCTTCCATATAATGCACCAAAATAGAAGAATGTTCTTCGCACTATATTCTACTTATCGTTGAAGACCAGAACGAGAGATTATGGATAAAGAATAAGCGTTAGGCGTTGATGGATGCGCTATGCATACGACTTTACTAAACGTCGTTAAGGGTGATTGAATGAATATCTGGTCTATACAGTAGCTCACGGTGGCCTACGAATCTATCACATCTGAGCAGTTATCCACCCAGACAAGCGTGGTACCAATTTGCCAACCGTGGAGAGATGAGAGGCATGGTGAGCACAGTCGCGAGATCGAACCAGTAACCTAGTATGTATTGCCGCCCATCCGTAATCCCTACTCTTCAACAGAGTTGATAAGAAATACGACGAGTTTTCAGGTTTATTTCCACAGTAGAAAGTGGATAACCACAGCGATGCTGAGATATTCGTAAAATTTGGATCTCGGACCAGATCGAACTGCGATTTCCTCCAACGCACAGAAACGGCCCGATTGGCTCAGTGTGTAGTGAAATCGTGGTTCGATCTGGCCGGGGTCCGAATTTTGTGGATATCTCGGCATCGTTGAGGTTGTAATTCACATCATACCCTGCCGTGAAAAATTATAGTAAGCAGAAAATAGAAGGTTAAGATTGTGAAAAGTAGATAGGATCAAACAACTGCGAAAAGAATCTATCACCAATGTGCATAATTCTCCTTCCCCCTTAAGGCAAAAAAGAAGAAAAAAATTAGGAAAACCACATGTTTTTGTTCTGTAATTTCCCTGAAGTGTAGTCACTGGTGCGAACCCCGCCCGAGATTCCGAGTTTTATATTTTTTGGGATTATTGTGGTTATATTTCACACTGTATTTCTATGAAAAAAGAATAGACAGTAGATGAAAGCTAAAACGTAGTGACCTCTTCTATAATGCTGAGACATTTGCAAAACTCCGGACCGCATCATGAATACAACATGCGGTCCGGCGCTTTGCAAATATCTCAGCATTATAGAAGTTATATTTCGCGACATACCCTGCCGTTAAAAAGAATAGGCAGTAAATAAAAAGGTTAAGATCGGGACCTCTTTCATTTTATTTGTTCGATAAGGACAGAGCTCATTACTGAAGACAGAGAAACCCAAAAACGACTCATTCGGAACTAGAGAAAAGGTTAATAATGAGCAGCGTACGAAATGGAGTGGAGTTTTCCGCGCATCTTTTTATTGGTTTTTGGAAACTGAAAGCGGAATTGAGGTTTTTAAAAAATCTACCTCAATGGCAATAACACGCCGATATTACATTTGGGTAGCACCATTGTGTCCTGCTAGAGGTAATGTTGTTTATTCGACCACTTTGTCCAAGATACGAGTGTCAATAAAAAAAACGTTTTATGAAATTTAGAAATAAGCATTTCTTCGTGCTAGAATAACAAAGTCCATATCGTGTTAGCGAAAGTCTGTCGGTTACCAAGATCGACTTTCTCTTAGGCTCTGCGATGATTAACACTTCACTGTTTTCCTCGATGAGCCAATACGAGGTGCTTCCTATAAAGGATAAAGGATAAAGCCCTCGGCGTTGATCAATCCATGAGGGATGCACCATGCATTCGACTTCATCAAGCATTGTTGGAGGTGATTGAATGCATATCTGGCCTTTATAATGACTCGCGGTGGCCTACCGATGTATCGAGCCAGTGCTGCTATCTTCCCAGACAAGTCAGTCTGGTACCAATTTGCCAACCCCGGAGGGATGGAAGGCTTAATGGGCCATGGGCGCCGGGATCGATTCCACGTGTATGTCGCAGTGGTGCCTCCAACCACTGCCCCACACTCGCCATTCTCTAATCATAAGCAAAGAAATTTCAGCGAAGTTGAGAGCTTAAAATCACAACCCCAATGGATTTTTTTGGGTGCCTGAAAGTTTGATGCTGTTGAATGGTACATTATTATTAAATAGAAACTGAAAAGATAGTTGTAGCTAAAATCCAAATCAATGAGGACTCCGATTGATTTTTTCGAATATTTGAAATTCATTTGGTCATGAATAATACACTCTTCTTAACCATAGGCGGAAAAGATTGCTGTTCTAGCTAAAATTTGAATCTATGAGTGTCACAGCATGAAATCAATAACCTTCAGGAAAGCAGTCGTTTGTACTTTGAACGGGTGGAGGTGGAAGTGGGGATGAAGTGGATAAGATGCTGTCCAAACAAATCTTTTATGTGAGTGCGGTCGGGAATGGGACAAGGAT